GTGTCGAGAATAAACCCACTAGAAAGGCGAGGCTGAAGTTCAGTGTTGCGAGGGAGCTGAGAAACATGCCGAGCAGAAGAAGGGAGAAGGATTTCAAGAGGTAGAAATGCTGAAGGGTGAGAGGGCGTGCGGAAGTTAAGTTCACCAAGTTGGAGATTAGTGGAGGTAGGGCGACATTGAGCACGCTGAAGACGAGGAAGAAGGGGGCCAGAAGCTAATAGGTGTGTCAGCACAACTTGTTTACATTTTTGGTAGCTTAAGCTAGTGGACAGTATAGGGGTTGAGTGATAGTGTGGAAAGTGCCTGGGATTTCTAGGAAGATAGGTAGACAAGAGAATAGAAGTTGACTCACATGAGAAGGTGTATGGTTGAAAATGAAGAGTGGGATGGCCCCTAGGAAGTGGCACGCGACGACAAGCCCCAGTGGAAGATACAAGTCCCGTTCGACAGCGGCGGGCACCGAGGGCGTTACTGTCGTAACCCCTTTCTTCTCTTCAATAGTCTCTGTACTAGCAGTGCTGGTCACAGGGTCCTTAGATCCAGAGACGGCATCCTTGTCGCCGCTCCTAACCCACATCAAGATGGCCATGATAGTGAAGTTGACAGCAATCAACATGGCGCTTGGTAAATAAGTACCGATGCTGACAAAGCGATCCTTGTGCATGAGCAGATAGAAGAAGAAGCTTTGATGGAGGTGTTCGAGCAGGTTGTTCAAACTCCGGAACGTGCCCTCAACGAGGCGACCCAGCCCCATCTCATCGTGCCAACCCTGACCCACGGGTTGCAATGTGACGGCATCGACGTGGTAGGGGATGAAGCTACTGTGAGGGCCAACGGCGTGGCCTAACCCCTGGTTCAGCATACCGCGCAGCATCGTCTTTAAGCGGTCATTGTACTTGTCCGAGTGCCCAAATCTCTCCTGGATGAAAGAGTGCATGCTCATTTGTCCATTAGCGATGTTGTTGACTGAGTTGATGAGGTCCAGATTGGGCAGCTGCCCATTCACGCCATCAAAGACGATATGCACACCTTCGAAGCGTCCCTCGTGCGGGTAGTCGATAGCGACGGCGCCCTGGAGGGCTCCCGACTTGATAGGCAGTGATGCAACCTTGGACGAATCATGGGCGTCGTGATAGGCATCCACCCAAGCTTGAATTCCTGCCCTACTATCAGGGGGAATAACGAGTATGATGTCTTTGGACCACAGCGACCAGCGCTTGAAGTACCGGGCTAGTGTCAAGGCAAGAGCAACACCATTGCGATTGAACTCGTCCTTGACGTTCTTCCATGCGGCTACTAACACGATGGCCTCGGTGGCATCACCTCGCGGGGCTTGTAGGATGGCGTATACGTTCTCACCAGCATAAGTGTTGCCAGCAGAGTGGTAAGTGTAGTTCTGGCGGCCGACCTTGAGGCCGATGCCCTTGATGATGTTCTCGAGCTCGTCATTGACTCTATTGAAGGAGTGCCACACGTCAGATCTCGGCCGCCCCCTATGTTTATGACAGCTGTCGTTTAATCGGTACTTACTCAATGTTGCTCTTATCCTTCAGTGCGTCGACCTCGTGCCTATAAGCTCGGAACACGTTCTGGTCACTTCCACCGAAATATGTATGAACCTGGCCTGGTAAGAGGGCATTCTCGGAGATGTATGTCCGGCGTGAGTAGTCGTCAAGGGGGAGCAGCAATAGCCAGACCACGCCGACCACGATGCATAAGAGAGAGAGGTAAGGTGGAAGCTTCAACAATCGTGGATCGCGGCGCAACGTCAGGATCGTGGCTATCGTGAACACGTCGCATTAGCCGAGGGACATGGCATTAGAATGTGCATGACGAGTTCTTCAACTTACAGAGTAGACGCGGCATGGCTCTCCTGTTATGAGCTCGTCAATTGGCGACTGGTGAGCTTGACAGAGCTGTTATCAAGGCGGTCGTGTCGTATCCATGAACGTTTTATGTCATTTTATATCTGTCAGTCTGCAGTATGTACGTGGGTAGTATGCTGTACCTGACCGACAACCGACGCCAACTTTCAGGGGTCCTCCAAATTCAAAAGTGGGTTGACCCTTGCGGCCGGGAAATCCCCAAAGCTTACAGCACACATGCAGCTTCTACATTAATACGCTTAGTTGCATTAGTACGTTGAATAACTCTAACGCTTGCATACCATCCTTAAACATGCTCTTCTACATGTGTTGGCAAGCCATTGGAACGGGCCCATGTATATAAAGCAGAGAGTCTGATTCAGATCGGAAAGAGAGCAATTCTATACTTCTAGTAGTACTTGATATGTATCCCATTATGTCTCTTCATGTATTTTTCTTATAGTGAGTCTTTATGGGTTAGCGTATCCATTGCTTCAGATTTGAGTCTGGTCAGCGTTAAAGTCGCTATATGTAAATCTATCTCAGCTGCGTAAATTCAGTCGAGGATGTAATCACCCATTACTCAACCATGAGAGCATCAATTACGCTGTAGTAGGAAATGAGAAGCACCGAACTTCCCCAGAAAGCCTGCCTAGCGAGACCATGATTACATAACCCTAAACGCCAGTGTCATGCAAGGTAGAGGAGCAGCCGTGATACCTTTTGCTCCATAAACAACGTTTTATATCGATACAATGTACACACTTGCACGGGCTTGCCTACCTATTATAACCTCCGCTAGGGGCCTAAACGCTGCGTGCTTCCTATCAGGCTAACAGGCGTCGTGCCGCTGCTCGAGGTGTTCGTGGGCAGCACCCCAAATCGCCCGTAAGTCTTCTGATCCACGCTGACGTAGTGAGGCAGCCGACCTAGGAGATTCAAGCGGCCTTCTATCCATCGCAATGCCCATTCTGGCGGGGCGAGAAATTTCAGGTACCCGAGGCCGACTGCGAAGCTTCTCGTTAGCACATAATGTCATCTGCGTATATGAACGGGTCTGCGTACAGAGATATCCAGTGCCAACACCGCATAGATGCCCGATGAAACTTGTCCCGGGGATGAGGGCTTCAACCACCAGAACCATCAAGAGCGGCGTCGTCCACGTGGGGACATGGTGTGTTCCAATAACTAGGTACGGGTTTGTCTTGTATGTTCGGACTCCTTCCATTCCCAACAGGAGGAACACCCATATACTTAAGGCGCCAGTTAGCCACCCAATTTCTCAAACAAGGACGAATATTTCTTTACCTGGCTCCCATCACGGCAGTATTGTTTTTCAGCACGACGCGTTCTAGGAAAACATATAGCAAAGCAGGTATTGTGGTTAAAGCTGGGATCGACTGTCAGCCCCTATCTCTTTTCGCCCCCACTAGAGTGTATACTGACGACCGAAGAATAAGGCTAGTGAAGTTAAGGTGCCAAACTCTGTTTCGAATCTTTCTAATAGTGGAGCCAAAGCGAGAATGTTGAAAATCGTATGAAGTAGGTTTCGGTGTATCAAGGGAAAGGTATTAACACGATACACTAGATATTTATCAGCAAACCCTTGTACATGTTGCCAAGGCCGGAGAGAGACTCGTACTAGTGGTAATTCCTATTTCGTTTGGTATTAAAGAACCCCATTGTTTGATATCCCAAACAGATTGTAGGCCGGCGAGCCCGAAAGCGACCATGACAACTAGCATGACGCGGGTGAAGAGAGGGAGGCGAAATATGTACGACCGCGCTCGCGCCGCGTTTAGGGACTGTATGTTGGGCATTTCGATTATATCGGAAGTACGTCTGTCTGATGGGTCGTGTCGTGATAAGAGGTTGTGCAGATCGTTCGTTTCGCTTCGATTCGAAGGAAGAACTCCTTAGGGAGGCTGGCTCCTCGAGGCACAATGCGCGCTATACGGTACAAACAGGCGACAGTTTGGTTAATAAGTCTGTGAAATTTTGCACAAGACTCAATTCGTGTTATACAGTAAGTATCACCATAGATGGTGGTAGCGCCGAATAAGAGGAGCGTAGTGGGCGAGATGGTATTATGCGCTCCTCCAAACAGAAAGGACAGCACATGCACACACACTCACACACACGGGAAGTCGTCGCAAAAGATGCCACGCCGCATGCACCTGTTTTCTGAAGAAAGTTGAGCTGCAGCTTTCCGAGTTGCATTGGCGCTAGACTAGCTTTAATGTTATTAGGCTGACCCACCACTTCTACTTTACAAGCATGAAGCATGCATGCATCTAACCATTTTTCAGATTTATTGCATATGTCTCCGGCAAGTTTCATCACAGCATCCAAGACGTCTCTCCCTGTTGTACGAGACACTGGTGCACTACCTATATCTATTCTACCAGGTAGTGAATTTTTATGACTTTGAATAATGCTAGTGAAATATATTTGACTGAAACTGTTTCTTGTCGATCCTGTATAATAGGGTGGATTGAGAGCAATCATGAGCTGATTCGGCCATACTCTTCACACACTCATCAAGGGCGGCAACATTACATACAATGTTGCTGGACCTCAATCTGGCAAGGTCTCATCCGCGCCGCCAAAAACTTCCCATAGACTACACATCTAATTGATCATCCATGCCAAAATTGAGAGGATGCTGCTCTACTTGCGGTCTCCCCGGCCACCGCGCTGCCCAGTGTCCGGCTATGCGGTTGAGAAGAAACGTCTCTGCGACAGTTGCGCTTGGGAGAGAGATTAACTCGACCAAGTTGACAATTAGTATAATTATGAAATAAAAATGTCCTAAAACAATAAACAGCCACACAATAGCTACACAATAGCCACACAATAGCCATTGTTAATAAGCCTTGACATGCAATGCATCCACGAGCCCTTTTAATGAACCGCATAAAAAGGTCGATGAAACAAGCTTAACACTTCTAGCCGCAACCACTTTTACCTGTTTTTTTTTTTAGAATTCCCAGCTCCCAACTCTCTATCATCGTCACATCATTAGCTAAACAAGACATCGCGGCCTCCTCTATTTAACCTTCCAAATCTTCGATTTCCAACACCTTCCATTAATATCCTACAACCCCCAATCCTCTTCCATAATCCCAAGTCAAGTCTTGATTGGTCTAGTGGTTAGGATACCTGCTTGTCATTAGACGACAAACTAGTGTTTTTCACGATAGTGAAAGATATAGTAGTCGATAAATACAAGCCGCAGGTGGCCGGGGTTCGATTCCCCGATCGAGAGCTCTCTTTTTGGCATTCTTTCTTATTCATTCTTTCCTTGGAGTTTGTTTTTCTTCTCATGAAGAGGCAAATGAATTATTAACCTAGCTTACGAGCTTTTGTTGATCTAATCTGAAGCACAATGTGTAAGAAGGGGAGTAATGTTTTGTTGTCATGCCACTATCTCTCTCCAACCTCTAGATAAAGTCTAATAATATCCGAACTTGGTTAGCTAGGTGTTGAGGGCTCTCCGTTGCCTATGTTACTCGCTACCTTTGATGAGTTTGTGCTACTCTCATCTTGTTGCCATTTCGGAAAATTAACTCGGCAGGCCATCTCGCTTTGCACCACCAAAGATCTCAACACTCTACTTATTTCATGCAGATGAGCGAAGAGGAACAACACATCTTTGGAAGAATACAGCAAAAAGGTTCAAGATGATCATATCTTTCATAATGTTCAATTTGTACAGACATAAAAATTGGTCAAAAGGCAGCATCATGACGGGCTATAACTGTAATCATCCATAAAAGCATGACACCCGTGACCCGAAAAAAAGATCCTTTACACCTCTTGTACTGATTCTAGAAAAGCATCCCCACATGCACCGGTATGCAGTCCCCTTGTATTACTTTCCAGCTAATAACAACTCCTTTTTGGTATCATACTTATTTGTTGTGCTTAGCCATCGTGTTCAGTGCACTTCCGTTCTTGAACCACTCGATCTGGGGCTCATTGAAGGTATGGTTCAGCTTGATGTCGAAGGGCTCGCCGTCCTTGGGGTGCACTCTTAGGGTCATGGGCTTGCCGACAGCCAATTCGGTGCAAAGCAGATCAACCTTGTCCTCAGGCTTAATCTTGTCGTAATCGGCCGGGTCGGCAAAAGTGAGAGGAAGCATACCTTGCTTCTTCAAGTTGGTCTCGTGGATACGGGCAAAGCTTCGAGTGATGATGGCAAGACCGCCAAGATGTCGGGGCTCCAGAGCGGCATGCTCTCGCGAGCTACCCTCGCCGTAGTTCCAGTCACCAATGACAACCCACTTGATGCCCTTATCCTTGTAGTCACGAGCAACAGCAGGAACAGCGTCCCATTCGTTGTTGGTAATGTTCTTAACCTTGTTGGCTTCGCCGTTAGCCTCGTTGATGGCGCCGATCAACATGTTGTTGGAGATGTTGTCCAAGTGGCCACGGTACTTGAGCCACGGGCCAGCCATGGAGATATGGTCCGTGGTGGTCTTGCCCTTGGCCTTGATGAGGATGGGCATATCGAGCGCATCCTTGCCATCCCAGGGCTGGAATGGCTGGAGAATCTGGAGACGGTCGGAAGAGGGAGACACCTGGACGTTGACGGAAGATCGATCGGCAGGAGGGGCTTGGTAAGTGTTGTTGCCAGGGTCGTATCCACGGCTAGGGAGGGCCTCGCCGCTAGGAGGAGCTAGCATGAACTCATTGCCATCCTTGTCCTTGAGCTTGTCGGTCAAGGGGTTGAAGTGGAGAGAGCCAGCAATTGTCAAGGCAACGACTAGGTCGGGAGAGGTGACGAAGGAGTGAGTGGCTGGGTTGCCATCGTTTCGGCCAGTGAAGTTTCGGTTGTAGGATGAGATAATGGAGTTAGGAGTGCCCTTCTTGACATCCTTTCGGTCCCATTGACCGATGCAGGGGCCGCAGGCGTTGGCCAAAACCATACCGCCAAACTCTTCGAACGTCTGAAGCTGACCATCACGCTCAATGGTGGCGCGGATCTGCTCAGAGCCAGGAGTGACAGTGAAAGCAGCCTGAGCCTTGATACCGTGGTTCAGAGCGTCGCGGGCGATGGAGGCAGCGCGGTTCATGTCTTCATATGACGAATTGGTGCAAGATCCAATCAGACCAACCTTGAGCTCCTCAGGCCAGTTATTGTCCTTGACAGCCTGGCTGAACTTGGAGATGGGAGTAGCTAGATCCGGAGTGAAGGGGCCGTTAATGTGGGGCTCGAGCTCGGAAAGGTTGATCTCGATGACCTGGTCATACTCGGCGCCCTCATCTTGACGAAGCTCCTTGGCATAATCACGAGCAAAATCTCCAATAGCAGTTCTCTTAGTGGAGGCAAGGTAATCGTACATGCGGTCATTGAAGGGGAAGACGGAGGTGGTGGCACCAATTTCAGCACCCATGTTGCCTATAAAATTAAGAGTCAGTAACCCCTCTCATGGACAAAATTGCGAGGCAAGTCATACAAATGGTTCCCATGCCTGTGGCAGAGATGCCATCGACACCAGGTCCGAAATACTCAACGATAGCACCAGTGCCACCCTTGACGGTGAGGATGCCAGCAACCTTTAGAATGATGTCTTTCAAACGAGTTAGCGGTTTCAGCGTCCTCACATTTGAATAGCGTACGAATAACATACCCTTAGGCGCGGTCCAGCCAGACAGCTGTCCAGTAAGTTTAACGCCAATGAACTTGGGAGCTTTCAATTCCCAGCTTAATCCCGCTGTTGGATTTAGAGTCAGTAATTGCCATCTTGAGCAGTTATGTAAGGGCTCGGGAGCATGTAAAGCTCTTAAGGCATGGTTATAGCCTGAATAGGAGCTTTTTACACTTGAAAGTGACGAGAATGGGGGAAAATTAGCACTGAAAACTACTTACCCATGACATCGACAGCGTCAGCACCACCAACACCAATAGCGCACATTCCCAGACCGCCAGCGTTAGGAGTGTGCGAATCAGTGCCAATCAGCAGACCACCAGGGAAAGCGTAGTTCTCAAGAATAATCTGGTGGATGATACCAGAGCCGGGACGCCAGAAACCAATGTTATACTTGGCGCATGCCGAGGACAAAAAGTCGTAAACCTCCTTGTTGATGCTGATAGCGCGCTCAAGATCCTTCTCTCCACCAATCTGGGCCTCGATCAAGTGGTCGCAGTGGACAGTGGTAGGGTTGGCAACCTGGGGCATGCCAGCGGACATGAACTGTAGAATGGCCATCTGGGCGGTGGCATCCTGGCAAGCTACGCGATCGGGGCGCAGCTTGAGGTAGGAGACACCTCGCTGGATATCCTGACCATGAGGATCGTCAAGATGAGAGTAGAGGATCTTCTCGGCGAAGGTCAGAGGTCGGTTTAGACGCGAGCGGACGACTGCCAGGTTCTCTGACATCTTCTTGTAGTTGATGAAGCTGTTCTCCTCCCAGTTGTTTTGCTTGACCTATGCATTGCGGGAAATTTAGCATGCGACAGAACAAAACACGGTTCATGTCGGATAGATAGAGTAGCTTGCTTACCTTCTTGTCAAGAGGGGAGTCGGTGACAGTGGCCATGGTCCTGCGAAGGCCCAGGTTGACCATGACCCGCGAACGGGCAACATTGCCGAGGACCTGTCGTGTGGCCAACATGTTGACGGCGGCAGACCTCAGATGTATGGAATGTGGTGGTAAAAACACACGCAGCCTTAGCAATTGAGCTTCCCCGGGGTATCACAACACTGGGGAGGGGAAAGCAATCACATCAAACAGTCTCTTACTGACGAGAGAACTGAAAAGTAGGGGAGGAAAGGAATAAGTAGGTTTTGATGTGATGAAAAAGAAGGAGAAGAGGTGGAGAGACTGGTTCGTGATAAAAGAAGCAACGGGGATGGATGAATGGAGCCGAGTAGCGAAGCTGTTTTCTACCACCTCCGCGCTAGTAGGGTTAGTCGGCTTAGTTCGAGCCCCATGTAATTCTTATGTACTGCTTATGTACTACGCCGCTGGGTTGACGAGGGAGAGATACTTTTGCATGCAGGATAGGATACCTTGGTTTCACATGTAGAGACGGTGGTGTCCGGCTGAACGGACGAATCAGCACAGGCCTAATTACTTTTTGACAACTGTTTTGGAGGGTTGGAAGAGCGATGGGTGACCTCACCTTCCTTGTAGAATCAGTGCCATTACGTAGGTGCCTTGTTTTTTTCGCATCAATAACGAAATCCCTCTGCCTAACTAACAAGGCTTCATTTGTTAGTCGTGTTCATCAACCGTCAAGAACTAACATATGCATATGTTCTATGGTAATTATAAACAATAATCTACGTGCAATTTCTCACTGTACATACATACAGATCAGTCTTCGGCAATGGCTCCCCGGAATGTGGATGGGGATAGGATGAAAGCGGTTGCTGTCTAGGTACGGATAACGTTGCACCCATTGGTCTTGAGGTACAAATTCCCGAGCTACACTAGGATAACAGAGGTTCGGAAAACTTCGCGCCTCCAACAAACATCTTCAGATAGCTTGAAACTACAGTTACTGCAAATCTGCATCTAATTCGACAACACTCGCTTTTTGGCTAGTATCGCATTTGTCCGGTCTTGTCGGCGTGTACCAGCGTATCCTGACTGTGCCACGGAAACTGATCTACGACCCAATCGCTCACAGTTGCATGCACCGATAAAGCACCACAAAAATCTACCCTCGGTCAAATTCAAGAGTCTGGGTAGCGAAACAGCATCCCAGCTTTTTGCCTAGCCTAGCCTAGCCGGCGGTTCTGCTCCACAACGGCAACCTGCCTCGCAGTAGGTAGACTTTCGCGATTCAGGATCTCAGGGCGTGCAGTTTTTCCCTCTCAGGCTTTTTGCGTGACTAAAACCTCTAAGATAGATAGCAGAGTAAACTCTTTGGAGGAGGAAGAATGCATGTCTCGTAAAGCTAGATACCTCGTCAAAATGTAGAGGTACTTTCTATGGCAGCCCTACCTCCCTTGTCTAGTAAAATGTACCCTGTCTCTCTTTCTGTCTGTTAGTTGCCATGTGAAATAAGTTCACGTCTGCAGGTCAACTTTTTTAGCCCCGAGGACAAAATTTGCAGGGTCTGGAGATCAAATATTGGTGGGTCAATTGTCCAATCGGTGGAGAGGTAGCCTTGTCACTTCACATCTGCCTCGGTGTAAGGGCGTTATTAGCCATAGGAACCTCCGATCGGACCAGTCCGGGATATCGTCGGATTAGGACCGAAGGAAGTATTAGGTACTGGTATATCCCTCAAGCTGCTCGTATAGAATCGTT